ATTTGTGATCGATTGATTCTTACATTTAACTTGTGGTTCTCTTGTCAATTTAGAATTTGTAGAGTTATAACAGTTATCAGTATCGTCACATAAACATTGAAAGTTATTACATTCAATACAAATAATGCTAAGGATAGAAAAAGAACTAGAATTTGATATAGATTTAGTACGGTTGTTTACGGCTACGCATTCTTTGCCTGATACCTAGAACATGTAAGGACAGGATTTCGTCTTGTGTCCTAATTCCCCGCAATTCCAGCAATCAAGCTTTCGTCCGTGTCTACAGTGGCGCGATGTGTGTCCGTGTTCACTGCAGAAGTAGCAAGTCACAGACTGGTAAAAACTTGCATTGGAGTCCGCTATGTTTCGACCGGAATTTCCCCGTAGAATTGAAACTTCCCTATTAATCCGTCTGAGTAGCATCGACGTCCCCTTGTCTGAGAGATGAATCCCATCTTTCCAATACTGAATGCCCTTTGCCTCCTTGAATTCACCTTTGTCGGAAATAAAGAGAGCTCCATACTCATAACAAACATATTTAAACATGATACTCTTTCTACAGTTTTAGTCCAATTTCAATATAACTTGGCACACAAGTAGACTATACTAAGATACTTAATTCTGTGCATCGGTTTTTATTAGGTCACCTGAGTAACTCAGGTGACCTATTGCTATCCGTTTTCGTCTGTCGTCGTCCGTCGTGTGTTAACATTTGAACATATTCAGCTTCTTCTCTGAAACCACTGAACCAATTTCAACCAAATTTGGTATACAGCATCTATGGGTGGAGGAGAACAAAAGAATGTCATGGTCCCCGCCCCCCTGGGGCCTGAGGGGTGGGGCCAAAACCACTAAAATTAATGAAATCTTTAAAAATCTTCTTCTTTACTCCTGGACATCAAGCAGGCAAACTATAGGCATGAATGTAATGAGCATTGAGTCCTCTACCAAAATTGTGAAATTCATGGCCCCAGGGTCAGGGGTTCTAGTGCTAGGGCGGGGCTCTATAGATTATAAAGTGAAAATGTATTATTTCTTTGAAAATCTTCTTCTCTGCTCCTGGGTATTAAATACACTAACTAAGCACATAGTTATGATGAGCAAGAGTGCCTCTTCCAGATTTGTGAATTTCATCGCCCCAGGGTCAGGGGTTCTGGTGTTAGGGCGGGGCTCTATAGATTATATAGTGAAAATGCATTATTTCTTTGAAAATCTTCTTCTCTGCTCCTGGGTATTAAATACACAACTAAGCACAGTCATGATGAGCAAGAGTGCCTCTTCCAGAATTGTGAATTTTATGGCCCTAGGGTCAGGGATTCTGGTGTTAGGGCGCGGCTCTATTGATTATATAGTGAAAATGCATTTATTCTTTGTAAATATTTTTCTTTGCCTCTGGGTTTTAAGCCAATGATCCAAGTATATATATATTTATGATGAAGAAAGGTGCATTTAGTAAAGTGGTTTTTAATGCCCCCAGGGTCAAAAGGGGGGGGGTGGTTACATAGCCTGAAAATAAATTAATGCTTTGAAATCTGTTCTTTGGTATTAATCAACCATTTTATGATAAAATTTGCAAAATTTTGAAATATATGGCCCTGGGTCAGTGGTTCCTTTGGGGTGAGGTGCACAACTGGTTATAAAGTGGAAGTGCATTTTCTCTTTGTTACTCTGATCTACCTCTGGGTATTAAGTAAATAGTCTATAGTAAGCATGCTAAGTTAATAATTATGATAAGCAATGGTGCCTCTTTCAAAATTGTAAATTGTGAATTTCATGGCCTCCGGTTTAAACACGAACCAAATTTAATTGTTTGAAAGTTGTTGCACAATACTCAAGTGACCTATAAGGCCCGTGGGCCTCTTGTTTTGATGAGCGTCAAGGATCATTTTTCTATTTATTGCCGTTTTAAAGTTTCAAGTCCCAACTGCTACTTTTCTCTTCCTTTGTTTTATTAAGTACAAATTAGTAGAGCTACAGTCTCGACAGAGACTTCTGGTTTTCAATAATTTTCATGTTAAGAAAAATCAAACAAAAGTTCTGCTAAGCGGGACATCCCCTCGAATTTTTTTTCCTATGTATTATTACTTCTCTTTCGCACTCGCTCACTCAAACACACAAAAGCGCGTTACTATACTCCCTTGAACTCCGTTCCCAGGGGCTAATTTACACGATTGTAGGTACTTCAAAAGACATGCCTTTGTACATACTTACTTATCTTAATGATCAATGCCAAAAAAATTTAGAAATTCATAAGCATGTACCTTTCATAAAACGTTGCGTTTTAGTTCACCTGAGAAAAAGTTTCAAGTGAGCTTTTCTGGTAAAAAAAATTGATCGTTGTCGTTGTAACCATTTCACAATTCCATCTTCTCTAAATTTACTAAGCCAATTTCAACCAAACTTGACACAATATAACTTTTGTAAAGAAAAGCATGTTTGTTCAAACGAAGGATATACACCCTCTTTTACTGTACATAAGAAAAATCTTTAAAAATTCAAAACTGTAAAACTGTAGCATTCTGGTTGAGAAAATTCGGACATACAAACGAGAAGCTACAGATGTAATTATTATAACAAGCTTATAATGTAACACCTGTATCGTCTTTCAAATATATAGAAGAAATAATGATGCCGACTCATGCAAAAGAGACGTCAGAATTTAAACAAATTTGCATTTTTTAAAATATATGAAATAAAAATGTTGTATGATTTTAATGTGAAAGAGTCTTACTGAAATATATACAATTTGTAAGGTTTATATTATTTGTTGATTATAAAAAATAAGAGGCCTACGGGCCTTATAGGTCACCTGAGTATCATGTAATAACCACCAGTTGTGCACCCCTTACCACAGGAACCACTGACCCTCGGGCCACGTATTTCAAAATTTTGGAAATTTTATAATAAATTATTTCATTTCATCATAAATGGTTGATTAAAACAAAAGAGCATATTTCAAAGTATTAAATTTTTTTTCAGACTAAGTACCTCCTCCCCCTGGGACCCCTGATCCAGGGGCCCAAAAATTAATCATTTTGGAAGAGACACGTTTCTTCATCATAAATATGTACTTAGATCATTGGCATAATAGGATTTAATGTTATTTATTAAATCGGTTTATCTGAGAGTCAAACACAGCATGTTTGTTTTGTACCAGTTATCTCCCTTGATCGTGTCACGTGATTTAGACACCAAGCAGCAGCCGACAAACGATGGTCTAAAACAAAAGGACAATCGGGAGAAAATCGCTGATATTCTTAGGTTTGTGTAATTTTCTCAGTTAACTTTGCTGATAAATTATTGTGCATAAAACATTGTACCAGTTTTCATGCAGCATAGTTGAGGATTATATCAGATTTGGAAAGAGGCTCCCATCCGCATGTAATCTGGTACATGTAATTACCATGCCGTCAAGCATTTTAATAATTTAATATCAGTTTTAAATGAAAGCTTATTTTCATACAAATTAATGTTTTGCTCTCACTTTATACGCTAGGTAGAGTACAGAAAATGGATTGTCCTACTAAAATTGTTTGCAAATTGCCCCCCCCCCCCCCTCGGCGCCTTCTCTAAATATGAACTTAGATCATTGGCATAATACCTAAGAGGACAAAAATGTTCAAAGAATTCATGCATTTTCACCATATAATCATAAGAGCCCCGCCCTAATACGAGAACTCCTGACCCAGGGCCCCTGAAATTCACAAATTTGGAAGAAGCATCCTTCCTCATCATAACTATGTACATATTGGTTTAATACCCAAGAGCAGAGAAGAAGGTTTTCAAAGAATTATGCAATTTTACTATATAATCAATAAGGCCCCGCCCTAACACCAGAACCCCTGACCCTGGGGCCATGAAATTCATAATTTTGAGTCATTTTTTTTTATCATAACATTGTACCTTGGTTAGTTTATTTAATATCCAGGAGCAGAGAAGAAGATTTTCAAAGAATTTATGCAATTTCACTATACAATCAATAGAGCCCCACCCTAACACCAGAGCCCCTGACACTGGGGCCATGAAATTCACAATTTTGGAAGAGGCACTCTTGATCATCATAATTTTCTACTTTGTTAGTTTGTTCAATACCCATGAGCAGATGAGAAGGTTATCAAAGAAATAATGCATTATCACTACATAATCTATATAGCCCCGCCCTAGCACTAGAACCCCTGACCCTGGGGCCATGCATTTCACAGTTTTGGTAGAAGACTCAATATTGATTACAATCATGCCAACAGTTTGACTGCTTGATGTCCAGGAGTAAAGAAGAAGATTTTTAAAGATTGCATTTAGTGGTTTTGGCCCCACCCCACAAGCCCCAGGGGGACAGGGGCTATGAATTTCACAATTTTTGTTCCCCCTACCCATAGATGTTATATGCCAAAATTGGTTGAAATTGGCTCAGTGGTACCAGAGAAAAAGCTGAAAATGATCAAAAGTTTACGACCGATTGACGACGTACGTCTGACGTAAACAAATAAGATTAGGTCACCTGAGTTTACTCAGATGACTTAGAAATACTATATATATATATTTATTTTCCAAACTCAGGTGACCTAAAAATACTATTTATATTTATTTTTCTGCAATAGCTGCGACGTTAATTCCCGTACTAACAACCAAAGAAAGCAATTTATTGTTGAAACTATTTAACGCGTAAGAATATAACAAAAAAGTTCAAACGAAACACACTTTCAAGTTTTTTGTCAAGACCAAGAAAAAATTATTTAAAAGATACAATGTAAAAGTAAGCTTTCAAATTATTGAAATAATGTCTGTTTCTTGTATTGTATAGTGATTTTTCTTCACACTTTTATGCGAACGCACACCATCTAAAAATTGATGAACTTGAAAAACTATTTGAAGTAGGAAAAAAAAAACAACAAATAAACACGAAACAAACAAATAAACGATTAAAAAGTCTTTTTATTATCGTTAGCCTTGATACAAATATACATAGGAACATCTTTTTCGACAAAACAAGAAGGGTCGTCTTAAACGGTATAAAGACGACCTCTAAATGGAATGGAGAATTTTCGTTGAATCTGGATGCTTGCCGATTTTCTAACTTTATATCGTTTCATTTCCATGTTGGATGATTCATTTTCCTGAACCGTTTGCAAATAATTGTCAAACAGGAGAGTAAATGGACATTTAATGTTTAGACCTAATTTTGCGCTGGTCTCAGTGAAAAGACAAGTTTCTGGAACATTTGCCCATGCTTTTTCTGTGGAAATTCTCCGGGTTGATTTCATATCGAGTTTATTTCCAACCAGTACTATATTGTTGAACCATTGACCTACAAAACATTAACATGATATACATGTACGAACCAAAAACTGAGATATAAAATCTGAGGTAAAGCTTAGAATTCAAATTTAGCTTGTAATTCAAGTTTAAAAATTGTCCGTTGGGTTTACCAACCTTTTAGCCTGGTGATTTCTTTACATATGACCTGGGCCTCTGTGTACGATTGCTGGTTGTCTACTGCATACATGACGACAAACGCGTCTCCCGTCTGGATGTACACTTCTTTCATGGAAGGAAATTCATCCAGATTACTGATATCCACAAACTCCACTCGATGATACAGCCCATCTACAAACACATCTCAATATTTATTAAATATATAATTTTTCTTGAAACAGTTTGAAGAAGCTGAAGATATTTTTGAAAACATTTTTTTAAAATTTTACCTGGAAAAAGGATCGTTTTACTGTGAACATCTTTGGATACGTTAGACTCTATGCCATGTTCCGAGGGGGATTGCAAAAACGTATTCAGAAGTGTTGTTTTTCCAACTTTAGTTGCTCCCAGAATGACTACTCTCAACACCTTCATGGTTTACTCGTAAATAAAATTTTACAGACAGATTGTCTTATTTATTACAGATTCTTAATTAACGTTCATTAACGAGCTTGAATTTGGTTGCTTGAATTTAAAGTTTTCACCAGAAATTGATAATTATTTGTAAACTAATAAGAAAGACGCGAACATGACATTTTCGTATTCGTATTTAGAAATTATGCCTGAAATCGCTTGGTTTAGGCATTTTGTGACGTAGGAGTTTATAAATATACTTTTGAATTGTATTTATCATTAGAATATATCAAAGAACTTCATTGTCCTCTATTCATATTCTTAATCCCCATCTCCTGTAACGAAGTTGTTTAGGTGGCTATGATAGAAATTCCTTGTCCAGACTGTCGATTTGTTTGTTTGTTTTTTTTTAAATTTATTAAAGGCTTTAATTGTCCTCTATTAATATTCATCACCCAATCAGAATCTCATGCAACGAAGATGATTAAGGAAATGATAAAAAGTACATGTACTTGATACATAGATGATAGTTCTGCCTATCAGTTTTTATCGATGGCTGGTTTTGTGAAGATATTTTCCTAACTTATCAAATCGAAATTCCATGTGAATTCATCTTAATTAAGGTGCTCATATACGTGCTCTCGAAGAGTTCATATTACATCTCGAATCCGTACTTTAAGCTATTGAGATAAATTCCGTCATAGATTACTAGTAATTAAGTAGGGATCTATCCAACGGTTTCATTTCACCTTTCGAAAACCTTGTTTGATAATTTGACCCAAAACTCACCTGATCACACGCTTAATACTTATTAAAATTGAATATAGAAAGTTGTATTAACAAGGGAGGCTTACTTCTTTTAGACATCTGAACCGGGGATCTGTTTGTATGCACTGTTGAAGATCTGTACTGCTTATAGATTTTCTAGATGGACCAGTGCTCGTTATCTTTTTATGCGCCCGGATCGATAGATCGGAGCGTATTTTGTTTTTATCCAGTCTGTCTCTCTGTTTGTCTGTTGTCAACTTTAACCTTCGCTATAACTTTTGAACCATGAAAGATAGCGACTTCATATTTGGTGTGCATACTCCACTAAATAAGCTTTTTCATATGACGCTAAGGTCAATGACCTTGTGACCTTGACAGACCTACACTTTCGCCATAACTTTTGAACCAAATGAGATAGAGACTTTATATTTGGTATGCATACTCCACTAATTGAGCTCTTGCAAATGACACCAAGGTCAATGACCTTTTGACCTTGATTGTGACCTAAATGCTAAAATAGCTTTTTCGAACTTTAATTCGCCGGGCGCATAGTGTTTCACAAACACATCTTGTTTTTATATATATATATATATATATATATATATATATATATATATATATATATATATATATATATATGTAAGACTCCAAAGTGCGATGGTGACGCCAAAGTCCGATGGTCTCGCCAAACCCCGATGGTCTGCGCCAAACCCCGATGGCTCGTTGTCTTTACGGACGCCAATGTCCGATGGCTCGTTTCCTATGAGACGCGAGACGCTAAAGTGCGATGGTCTGAAACGCCAAAGTCCGATGGTGCGGAGGAACAATTAATGTTTATAACGTCACAATAGTCCGACGTCTTGACGTTACTCTGCATTCAAAATTATTTGATTCAGTATTCGTCTCACATACCTTTTTACGGATATTGCTTTTTGTTTTCACTCACCAGAGGTATTAGGGTTAGTCCTCGTACACCATTGGAGTGATAAGGGTTAGTCCTTGAACAGTAAGGTGCTTCTTCGAACCCACCCGAGAGATTTTAGGGTTAGTCCTCGCACACTATTGGGATGATTTAGATTAGTCCTACACCCACCTATGATAGTTAGGTTAGAGTTTATACTCATTGTTCGACTGATAAGTCTTAGTTTCGCACCTACATCCAAAAGACGAGGGTTAGTCTTTGTATTTATGATATTTTGTATTTGTGACGCGCCAAGCAAAAACCTCCCTTATCGAAGAATTTTGACTTTTTCAGTTTTTTATTGATTCTTGTAGAGTTTTTCTTTCTCTTTCTTTTGATGTATAACATGACATATATTTCTGTACATAAATGTATAAAAAATCGCATGACAAAGACGGATTATTTACTTTGACGTACAGTGTACGCGTGCGTTAACTGCATGGATTTTTAACGTAAAATCGTAAAATGACGTAAAGCTTCATAATAATTTGATGATATTTATTATTATTAAACTTTTGATTTGATTTCCTTAAAAGATCAACAATTGAGGATTTTTTAATCGTAATACTAGAAAATAAATATTCTAAAAAATCTTTGAGAAACGAATGACGGGGGGGGGGGGGGGGGGGGGACCGAAATGATCGTCAAGGGAAAAACTCAAGACAAAATCAAAAAATCTTCTCTTCACCTGGGAGATCTTCCAATTTATGGCGTTTTAATACAGTAAAATGGCAGAAATCTACATCACTGCAATAGTAAAAGAAATTTTGCAACATTTGGATAAAAAAGTCCTATTGTGGTAGTACAAACGACACACGTACGGCTTCCTACTAGCTTAGGCTAGTGGGATAACCCTTAAGCTTATTCGGTAAAGCAAAGAGGCGTCGGGTTCGATCCCAATTAAGCAGAGGCACGTAATTTTTTCTGTTACACTATCAAAGTATTTATTTTTAAAAAAGAAGTTCGGGACAGTCTTTACTCCACACCCCCCCCCACACCCCCCGGTCATTAAAAGTCTATACAATTTACGAATAGATAGAAAGTATTGTCATAGTACCTGAAAGTTTTTAAAGAGTGCGACAGTTTTCTTTTTTATATCCAAAGGAAAAATATCATTTCTTTTAACACAAGTTAACTATTTGCATGTTTTAGTTTCGAATGTTTTAATACGGAAGACTTCTTGGCTTATTGAAAAGATATTCTGCACCCAAGAATAAATTGTATTTGTCTCTTGTAGTAGAGTTTGATCCTTTTCTTCTAAATATATTTCTTTTCAATAATTTAAACATAAATATAATCATATGTTAAAAATTACCAAGAAATAATGATTGAACACTTTAAAATTTGATGCACCTAATCTTCATTGATTTGATTTAAACATGCATTTATTGAATTATACAAACGCATTGGAAACAAATTTGACAACTTTCAAGTTCTTATTGTGAATGAAAGACTGATTTCATAACGACATCCGAAAAAGAAAAGCGTCTGCATGCATACGTTTCAGTGAATCAGAATTTAACCTCCATCCCCACCCAGTAAAATATATGTATTTTTAAATCTTGTTAATTAAAAAACAAATCTGCAATTTATATGTATGAAGTTAATCGTGAATTAATTTTGAACCGATCATTGTATATAAGCCGAATAACAAACCACAATACCAGAATATAAATTTTATATGAATCCCACAAGTGACACGTACACTCCACAACTTCATTTCTAGGAATAGAATGTAAGGCTTATACTAAGCTTCACTGTTACCTTCCTGAGAAAGTACATGCACACATTATGATTTATTTAAATCATCTTAAATGCTAGTTACATTTTAGTATTGGTTTAAACACGCATGTCAAAAAAAGCAACAGAAAGTAAGAGAACGGGTAAAAAATTTTTACATGTGATATTCTTCGATCATCGTAAACGGGAGGGGGGTATGTCTCAGCTATGGACATTCAAGCTTAATTGATTACCTGTATTTATTAAACAAGAACAAGGCACAGATCTTACGCTGTAACTTTTGTTATTTTTTAAAAAAAAATACTTAATTGTTGTAATTTATAATTTTTTGATACACGAGAAGCTGTATGAATGGGTTAGTTGATCAAGCACGCAATATTCAAGCCGACCAACATGTATTTTTTATGTTCGATAAATCCTTTATCATAGAATATAGAGCGATTTGATCATTGACTTAAATATGATATATTCAGATACATGTATTTACATACTCCAACTTCCATACATATTGAACAAATATAGGCATATTAAATTACATCGGATTAATATATTTTGCATAAGCGTCGGAACCCGGGGGGGGGATAGGTGGGGATTAGCCCCCCTTTTTTTCTCTATATTAAGATATACTTAATATAGTCATTGGACATTGCTGCGTAGGCTTAGCCCCCCCTCCCCCCCACTTTCCCTTTCCATTGACATGTTGCAATATAGGCGTAAAATGGGGAAAGTGGTGTGTTTGGAAAAAAAAGGTTTGGAGTTCGAACCTAACCCCCCCCCCCCCCACATAATTGGATTTTCGTGTTTAACCAATGCACATTTCCTTTTTTTTAATTGCTTGTCAGGTCTTTTTGAAGGTTTAAAAATTCCTTATACCTACCCCCTCCCCCCCTTTCAATTTGCTTCCGACGCCAATGTTTTGAGCAGATTTGTACCGTACTAATTTTGCATTAAACTGCCAATACATGTACATGTTCAAAGCAACTTTTGCAGGAAAAATTTATTAACGTTGTAAAAATTTGTTACATGTTTACATTTAATAAATAACGTGTAATTGGTAGCAAATTTTCATAATTTGAAACGCATATTCATATTCATTTAATTGCGATACAACAGAGGGAAACAAGATTATTATTTTCCAGGGTTGATGTTAAATCGTGAAATGTTGGTAGTAAAGTCTTCGTCGGGGAAATAATTACTTCAGGTTAAATAATCCTTAATACTAAAGGTTAAAATAAATCATTAAAAAGAAAGTCTTTAACCTCTAAAACGTTTAATTTATACTCCCATACTGCATTGATGTTTTAAAAAGGGCTGAATGTGATGAGCACCGGAGACGTTACTACATGTACATGCAACAGCCTGATTCAGCGATTTTATACATGACCGAAATTATGTTGTTTTCGGGAATCCAAAACTCCAGAATCTTCGTTAGTACATGTAGATAAACCATGCACAAAATAGTTTTAAAACTGTTCAAACAGATTGTATGAATTTGTAACAATTTGAATTAATTATAACATTTTAGTGATGTATCATGTTTGCCATTTTTACA